TTAGCATAACCCATATCAGCAGATTTTAGATAATAAATGAATGCTTTATGTTCATTTCTCTCAACTCCAATTCCATTTTGATAACGATAACCGACATTATATGTTCCTTTAGCATAACCCATATCAGCAGATTTTAGATAATAAATGAATGCTTTATGTTCATCTCTTTCAACACCAATTCCATTTTGATAACAATAACCAACATTATATATTCCTTTTGCATAACCCATATCAGCAGATTTTAAATAATAAATGAATGCTTTACGTTCATCTTTTTCGACTCCAATTCCACTTTGATAGCAACAACCGACATTAGATATTCCTTTAGCAAAACCCATATCAGCAGATTTTAAATAATAAATGAATGCTTTATATTCATCTTTTTCAACTCCGATACCGTATTGACAATTGTATCCAAGACGACAAAGTTCAGAAGAATTTTCTTGATTCATTTTTTAAGAAAAAATTTGAATCCCGAATTTTTTTATATTTTTATTGTCCGGAACATAGTGGAGGGATTTAATGTTTATTCATAGTGATACAAAAGTTACGTTTTTTGATGCATCAATTTATATTTTTATATTGCCGAATCAAAAACGTAATATTGTAAATTCATGTCTGTTAGCATACGCACGTAATTATAATGTAACAAACAAAACTCAAAGTATATCAGTATATGGTAGTGTTTCGGGCGAATCCGAAATACAGTATTTCGCCAAATCTGAAACCGAAATAAGGGCGATATTAGTTTCGCCCGGCATTTAATCTTTGAAATGTCTGAATTCCGAAAAAGTCCGCCAAAATCCGTAATGGCCAAATTTTATATTTAATCCGAATTTTAAACCTGATTCCAAAAATTCCGGGATAGGGATAAGAATCCCAAAATCAGGTACGTACGTACGTACGTATACATTATGTAATCGCTGCTTATGAGATTAACAAATCACAATGTTTCAAGAGAAATAAAATAATCCAATATTTTGTTTTATTTATTCAATCATTGTAAATAATGAACCTGATTACATTTAAATTAGACAATTAATAATAGATTGTCAAAGTTCTTAAAGAATTTGTGACTAAAATTGTGACCAAATCTACGTGAACATGTGATTCGAATTATGCGATGAGGCTAAATGATGTGTTCAAATATTAAATTTATTTTACAGTTAATACATAAATATAAAAATTATTGCTACGTAAGTGAAACCCAAACATTTTTGATTCGGTTTTAAATAGCCTAATCTATTAAAAGTGTGGCTTAAATTGAAATTCATAATGCAATTATCAATAATCGTATTTTCCACTTGTGCTGTTTTTTTGCGAGTCACATACCTGACAACAAAATTTAGACATGTTATATCGTTTACGATGTACTCATTTTCCTTTCCAATTGTTCTTTTGAAATCAAATACCAGCATATATTCATGATTAGCTGTAGCCCCATTTACTCCAAAAGATACAGTATATCTCTCAAGAATAAATAAAGATATATACATGATAATAAATATATAGATTATAGCTTACCTTTTCCAACAAAATATGAGAATGTGATCAAATGGATTCTTTTTAATAGGTTAGATCATATTCAAAAGAAGGATAGATTAGATAATATCAATTTGATTAGATAATATACAGGTAAATTCTAAGAATAAACATTTCGATAAATACTAAAATGACAAAAAATGATCTCAGACTGTAGTTTTAGGTTGAATTCTTTAATGTGATTCTATTTCTACTTGTCCATCCTTGAGCTGTTCTCTGAGGATCACATGTTTGACACCAAATTGGTGGAGTTGCAGAAAGATTTTCCATTACAGCATTATCCGTTATATATAACATGTTATTACTAAGTAATGTGAAGACTATGATTCTATTATTAAAATCAGGCGGCTTTTGCCGCCTGCAAACTATCTCACAAATCAGAATATCAGACTTATATCGGATTTACATTTAAATTTCGGAAACTCGGATTTTTATTTCGGATCATCCTACAAAATCCGAAGCATTTCAGAATCTAAAAACAATTTCGCCCGAAACATTAGTATATGGACTAGGAAAATCACTATCTGGTATTTTTCTGACCAATTTTAATTCAAGTTAACGTATCGGTTCTTATTTATAATTAAATTCATAAAATATCGAAATTAAAAAAAAAAACCAATTCTTCGAAGATACGTATTCGAAGATATAACGCTCTAAAAATAGAATAAACCTAATCAGTTTTTCAATTTAACTTTGAGAATTGAATTCAAGCATGTGACCTTGTTCGAAAAATCTGGAATTGAAATTTTTGTGTAGCGCGAACTTTAATCATATTTCTCTCTCAAAGGGTGAAGTTCCTAGTCTATATAGGTCCAGAAATACAATGCCGGGTTTTTGAAATTACCAAACTATTTCATTTAGTCATATGGCTTAATATCCTATCAGCTGATCTGTAAATCATTAATATATTGATTCCACAATGATAAAGAACATTAGTCACATGTCACAGAAATTCTTAAGGGCTGAATGAAAATTAAAAATCCGGTTTCCCTTAACGTTAATTAGGAATGACAAAAAAAAAAGTGTTTATAATTCGGTTATGCTGAAATCTAAATTTAAAGTAGTCTTATTATAATTTATCACCTCTAGTTTTCCCTTAGTGTTAACAAAATCACCCATAAGAAATAATACGTAGACGTAATTTACAGTTTAATAAATACAGTACATAAGAACTTTCTACAAACCTATATATATAGAACTAAATAGAAAATTTTCGATTTAAAATTATTTTCAGCCATGATATATTAAGGATGACTTAAAAAAATTGATAACTTATTCTACATTTGGTTTATATTACACAATTTTGAATTCAGAAAAGTGCCAGTCATTGTATAATAAAAAAAAAAAAACGACGTATTACGATGTTTTTAACAATTAACTTTGCTACAGGATTGTTTAGTGTAAAATAATTATATAGTTAATTTTTTAATTTCAGCTAAAAATTACAGTATAATTTTGGCAGCTATAAAATTCGGCCAAATTTATGATCTAAAAATAAGTCATACAGAAAATTATATCATAATGACATATTAAATTTTATTGGTTACATCATTAATGAAATTAAAAAAAAAGTCTATTGCTTAAAAATGACGTTTTCGTATGTAATTTTAAAATGACCTCATCATGACATGCAAGTTCGAAATCAAACAATTCTGAAAGTATATAAAGGTGAATTGATTTCGTTCAAAGTTTTATCATCAAAATCATCAAACAAATAATTCATTATTATAAATAAAATAAATCAAATCAAAAAACAAACGTTAAACAAATAATTTGTAAAAATGTCTGACGAACAACAACCAAGCAAACTCAACGCTAATGTTAACTACTATTCCGGCGCTGCCAAAGAATCAAGTAATTAGAATTTCAATATGAAAGTGCTTATGCTAAAAGAAATATATATATAAAATATATATTAATTTTAAAATATTTTATTTTCTAAATTAAATTAGTTGGAAACTTAGTTGGTAACGAATCCCTAAAATCCTCTGGCCAGGCTGCTCAAATCCGCGGCAACGCAGAATATGAGGCAGCCAGTAAAGAAGCACCCTCAAAACTCACTGCCAATTATAACGCGGCCGCTGGTGCCGTTAAGGAAACAATCGGATCCGTAATTGGACATAGCGATCTAGAGAAATCAGGTGCTGAACAACGTAGAAAGGGAAATG